AGGCTCTCGTCATGGCCTCACTCTTCTTCCCATCTCATTCCAGCAACTTCCTGGTGACGGCCGGGAGAGACCGGAAGGTCAAGTTCTGGGACCTGCGTCGGCCACACGAGCCCCTCAACAGCATCAAGCGCTTCCTGAGCACAGAGGTGGCCTGGCTACTCTCCTCCTGTGGGGTCACCGTGGCCCAGGACAACTGCTACGCCCCGTGAGTCTCCCCCTCCCTCAGTGCCCCCCCTCCCCACAGCTGCAATGGGCAAGGTGGGCTCCGTGGGGGAGAGCGAGGCTGGCTGCCCCCTCCATCCCAGAGGTCAGGAGCGTGGCCTGGTCTCCCCTGGGCAACCTTGGCTTCTCCGCTGTGCTGCAGGTACGGCCTGTGTGGCATCCACTACCTCGACGCTGGCTACCTGGGCTTCCGGGCCTACTTCGTGGCCCCCCGCAAGGGCACCGTCTGGGTAAGCCAAGGGCCTGGCCCCACCTCCTGTTGGCAATAGCAACCTTACAAGGCAACCCCATATGGAGAACTGGCCACATGGCCTCCCCAGGGCAGAAAAATTACCTTTAAAGAGGAAGTTACATTTTCCCTAAAGAGATCACATTGCTAGGCATGCTTGAGGCCTCCACTGACTGTTTGTAAATGTGTATAATTGTTAACTTACCTTGTATGTACATTTTGGTTTGCCGGTTTGACTGGACCTCTTTGGTGTGGGAGGGGCTTCAGGCACAGGACTCCATTGTGTATACAGTGCTCCCTCACTTATCATGGGTGTTACGTTCCAGGACCACCTGCGATAAGTGAAAATCCGCTTGGCAAATGTTTGCCAAGCGGATTTTCACTTATCGCAGGTGGTCCTGGAACGTAACACTCCATGAACGTGTGCTGACCACCTTCTGAAAACCACTAGTCAAGAAAAGTGTGGCCTTGCTAGAAGTCAGCCCTTTGAATAAGTGATATTCATACTAATTCATGTCACGGCACACAGGTAACTCGGCTGTAAGGCTTCCATGAACAAGGACAAGAACTTGGCGTGATTCTAAATGTTGCTTCATCTGACTACACATCCCAAACTTGACACTTTTATCCCCTCGTTAGCTAGGTCACTCGTGGTCAGAAGCTGGTTTTTCTTTACTTGAGGCTTTGTTATTGTTTTCTCCCGAAGCCTGGCAGAGCACCAAAGCCATTGCTCGGCTCTCCTGTTTTGACTGAACTCTCCTCGTCTGTCTCTTGGCTCGTTATCTACTTGCTGATTAATTTTTGCAGGTGGGCCAGGTGCCGAGCTATTTTCAAGTTCTCTCTCATGAGAACTCTCTGGTAACAATTGAGAAAGCACACCATCATCCCCACACCCCTCAGGGACATTCTCCTGGGAAACAGCAGGGATCTCCTGGTCATTCTCTGCATCAAGATTACTGACCAAACCATTGCCATCTTGAACCTCATTAACATCATTCCCCACATCCAAAGCACCCTGATCTTGGAACACAATCACAGGCTGAACAACATCTTGCAGTCCCTTTGCGGGAAAGCTCACATGAGTGGTGCTCACCCCCACCTGTTTCTCTTTCTGTCTGCAGAGCATCTCTGGGTCCGACTGGCTGAACACGGTGGTCGCTGGAGACGTCACAGGGGAAGTGGTGGTGGCCATGATGCCCGACCTCTCCATCAACCCCCACAACGTCAAGCGGCCCTCGGATCGCAGATTTGTAGGTGCCTCCCCCTCCCCTGGACCAGGGCCCCATGAACCCCTCAGGAGGAGGGCGGCGGGGGCCTGGAGGAAGGTCTTTCCCTGGCAGAGGCACCACTGCCCTTGGGGTGCTGCGTTTGGGAGTTGGGAGGGGCCTTGGCTGAGTGATGCAGCCTGCAGTCCATAGCAAAGTGGGCCTGGGGAGCCTCTAGGGTGAGTGGGGGCAGCTTGGAGCCTGGTGAGCATGGAGGCCCATCAAGCCTGGGAGTGGGTTTCCCATTGAGGGGAGGCGGAGTAGTGTGATGGGTGGAGGCCTCGCTCTGCCTGCCACCTGGGGCCTTAAGAGGGATTATGGGAGAAGGCACGGGTTTTGTGGGACTTGGCTTCGGAGTTAGGGTGGTAGTTGTCCCCTCCTGCTGCTGCTGCTCCCCCTGAAGGCCAGCTCTGTCCTGATTTGCCCTTCAAGAACAGCCTTAATACAACGTTGAAAGTAATCAGCATCAGAGTTGCTACCACTAGTGAAAGCTAATTGCTCCTGCTTCTGATTGATAGCCCTGAATTCCCCACGCAGGAGGTGCCAGGGCATCTCCCAATTACCTCGGCGTTTCTAGCAGCTCTTCTAGCTGGACGCCGTCTCTGCTCTGTTTCCTTTTGATTTTCCCTTCAAGAACAGCCTTAATACAACATTGAAAGTAAATGAAAAATGCTTCACTTTTGCAAACACAAGAGAACAGCCCATGCACAAAAGAAAGCAAGGAAGTCTGAATGCAGACACAAAACTCAAGTCTCTGATAAAGTCCAAAAGAAACGGCAGTCTTACATCAGACAACGGGCAATATTCACTAAATCCTTAGCAGCACATTCAAAGCAGCTTCAGTTGGAGTGAAAACATCAGCATCAGAGTTGTTTGTTACCACTGGCGAAAGCTAACTACTCCTGCTTCTGATTGATAGCCCTAAAATCCTCACACAGGAGGTGCCAGGGCATCTCCCAATTACCTCAGCGTTTCTAGCAGCTATTCTAGCTGGATGCCGTCTCTGTTCTGTTTCCTTTTGATTTGCCCTTCAAGAACAGCCTTAATACAACGTTGAAAGTAAATGAACAACGCTTCACTT